AAAACTGAAACCTGATTGTATAATAATTGTAACAACACTCAAAGGACGGTTAGAAGGGTTGGGGTCGTACGAAAACGTTTTGAAAATACGAGAAAAAAACGGGGGGGGGGGGCGGCGGCCCCCTCGGCCCCTCCCCTAAATCCGCCTATGGATTTACACAGCTCAATCGGCTTTACGCTCATTTCATCCTCGTGTTAGCTGAGGTTCGGAAAAAGTAAAACCGAAGGTCTTCCGAAGACCCATATCATGAAACCCATTCAACGTGCATGGTAACATTTGCAACTGAACCAGGTACAAAACGAGGAAATAACTTGAGATGAATTCCTTTGACTATATGTAGGATTAACTCTCGGAAGTTCGGGCTAATTGTTTCTACGCATCCTTACTGCGCACGCAAATTCACACGCCACGTCATGCATGAGAGCGCTAGTCTCCTCCGCGGCCGTTTTTGGGGATGTCACGCAAAAAACAGCTGCGGAGGAGACTATGAGAGCGCGGGCTAAGAAATAAAATGAACAATGATAATGGCCATTGCTATAGCTTTGCTGGCTTTGCCTGGATTTAACGATCTTGGACGTTCGGTGACTCCTATCTTTCTTTTGATGGATCATTTTCTTGACCAATTTTCTACGTTTAGCGAAAAAATGAAGAAAATCTATCGACTAGAAGTTTGTATTTTTTGCAAAATGCACCATCGAGTTCCGTTCTTTTTTAGCTCTTCGTTTATCTGTGCGACGGTTCCAAATGTCTCTTGAAGGGTTAAGTTTTGTGAAAACGTTGGTAGCATTTGGAATCATTTACGCAACAGACCCACTTCTACAAAATATGACTAAGATCGTTTGCCTCCGTTGACTCACCTTCGATATTTTTAATTATAAGCCTCTGTAGACCATGCTAAATTACATGCACCAATTTTTCAAAATCTGGATAGCTTTCCACACGCTTTATCTCTGAAACGAAGTCGGTGACCGCCGATCGTTTTGCATTTCTGACTCAAGTAACTCATTATCTGACTGCAGTAAAAATTTAAAAACAATCTATAGACTGGAAAATTCTCGCGCAAACGTTCCTAATCTTTTCAGTCTTTCCAGATATGCCTGATGTCTTGCAAACCGAAAACGTTGCGAACTTAGCTTTCTCCTCCTAGCAACTTAGTTATTTCCTTGCGAATAAGCTATGTGTCTTACCAGAAGTGGAAAATAACAAGAAAGAAGAAAGGGCGACATCTCAGCTTGAGGATTGGAGACTATGATGGTCGATGGACAAATAAAAGAGATGTTGATCGTCTGTCTGTCCGATCGCAGGCCGGTCGGCTGGTCTGTCGGTGGATCAGATGTTATACTTTTCGATGAAAATTGGAAAAACTTGCTTCTTTGCAAACTCCTAGGGATCTGGGTCTAATCGTATCTTCGGAAGACATTCGGTATTCTCCGACATTTTCCGAACCCATTGCGAAAGCGTACATGATGGTGTTTTCTAAACCAAAATATTCTTGTAAAATTTGGGTATTGTTTTCATTCACTTTCTTTGTAAGGACTTCAAGTAAAACCAGCAGCACGACATCAATAAGAGCCGCATTAACATCAGGTAAATATAATGTTAGTATGTTAGGATGCTTTCGTGACAAAGTTTGCCTCGTGTGCCACGCTTTGGTCGATCACGATCTCGCTAGCATTTCTCTGTTCGTAGCTTCATTATGCATAGTTTCTTCGAGGCTTCCTTTACTTGTGAACAGCAATCATCCGTAGAATGAGACTTGCAAAATTATTTTCATATTATTGTTAGCCATTGTTATGCCTGGGATTGTGGAATGAATAAGGTCAAGGCATTGAAGAAAATACCAGAAAACATACATGTAAAAAGGATGTACGTTCCGTTGTTTGAATTTTAGCTTAGACCCAATATAACATAAGCTTAGAGCTTTTTCAAGCTCATGTTGACTTAAAGATCGACGTTTGTGGGACACAGGAGACAGGGGCCGGGTTGGAAAAGGCAGAGCAAAAGACAGTTTCAGAATTATTGATTGTACATGTAGGCCCACACTATCATTTTATGTCCTAACTTGTGTATCTTGGATGGGTTTTTTTTAAATCTTTTTGTTTGTGTGAAATGTGACTACGTTGTAAAGACTCACTTTCTAAACTTCTACACTGGCTCCGTCTCATTAACAAACATAAAGCCTTGCAAATTGCAGTTAGTCGATCATTATCAAGTCTGCTCACAAATGGAAGGTATTTTAATTCTTAACTGGTTTCACAGGTGTCTGTTAAAAGGTCGCATTATTACATTAAACCCAACTGGTAAAACCTGAATGTTTATCATCACCTCTCCTTAGATTAACCATTCTGTTTTTCCACAATAATTTTATTGTTCCCAAATCTTTAGTCCAGAAAAAAAAATACAGTTTTCTCCTTCCTTTAATATAGGAACAACTCCAAGTGACACCACCATGGCAACTGTGCAAGGTATATAACGACTGTGATAAAAGGCTGTGATGACTTCAACTCACCACATAATTTATGTTCAACATCTCCGTCATTCCACATACAATATATATCCAAAATGAATGCAATTGCCAAACGCATAACAATAAAATATAATTACAAATATTATTTACTATGTTTGACTAAGAAATGCATGGTCAGCATTAAGTTTTTTTCCAGAAAATATTGATACCTCCATCTCCATTTGGTTTGACCCCCTCCCCCTAGTTCCCCACCTCTCTGGAAATTTTAGCTTAGCTTCATGCTTCCTGGTTTCTTTTGCAGCTTTTGTTTGGGGTCATTACACAATGCTTCCTTCCCCAGCAGCACATGACAACCTGAAAAGACGGCTGCAGACTACATGCTTTCCTTTCATAATCATGTAGGCGCTGTCTCCTGATCTATAGTCAGGTTTGATTGAGGACTGTTACAAATTGGTAAAAAATGAGATTTTTGTGAAGAAAAGAATCCCAAAGCTAATTATTGTAATAGATGACAACAAATGTTGTTCTGCAATGAATTTTCTTGACTGGACTTCTTGTTGGTTTAATAACAAGCATCAGCAAATCTTTCCACATTTTGTTACTTTACAGGAGACTTGAAAGTAACTTTGGGGATATTTTCTGGCCGTCCTGATCCAGAATGGCAGGTTCTTACAAGTGACCCAAACTATAAGGATATTGAACGTCTTCTTGAAGATGCACGAGCTAGTGGCTTCATCTACCGTCACGTAAACATGCCATCACGACTTGGCTATAAGGGATTCTTAGTACTCGACACTGCAAAGGAAAAAGCACAACCAGAATTGGTTGTTGGCCCACAGACAGTCGAACTGCAACAGTTGTTACTAAAGACCATCCCAGATGAGCTGTTACCCAAAGAGTTTTGCAAGAAAATTTCTGAAGAGATTGATGCAGGAAATGTCAAGGCTAATGTATGAGATCGCACATAAACTTTACACATAGTGATAGCAATCATATAGACATATTGAAATAACATTATTCAGCAAAATGACATTCTGTATTATTTTGACGTAAATTATAAGGCCATTTGTCACTTCAATTTGCAATGGGTTAGCTACTTGGTAGTGAAATAATTATAATAGGCCCTTGGGTAACTGTGTCATGTGACTATGTCAGGTGACCAGTCAATCTTTAAATGAAATGGTCATGGTATGAAATAGATACCAGAAATAGAAAGAGAGTGATGCAATTAGTGCAATTTTGAGTCCACTGAGATGGTACATGTATGTATCTGAGGGTTTAAAAAATTACCAAGACTTGTAAGGAAAAATGCCCTTGGATGGCAAAAAGCCAGCATGCAGACTGTTTGTTTGAAACTATAAAACTGTCCTAAAATCTTGCTTAAAAATTCTAATGGCCTCAAAATGGTTAATCTTACTCATTTCATTAAGCTCTTCCCATTTCTCTTTCCAATTTCTTTGAAAGTTTCAATGAACTCATGCAAACTAAGATATAGATTCCTTAATCAAACACTTAAGAGCTAACACAACCTTTATTCAAAATACTTTAGATGAAAATAATTATATGTCTTATTAATGTTAAAACTAGAATATTTATGAAACAACAAATAATTTAATGTGTAAAATTGATAAATTTATGTTAACTCAGAACTACTATCTAATTGAATCTATGATTGTCAGTAAAGAGAATTACTAGTCTTTATGTACATTTTAAGCTTGGAATTGAACTGGAGGTGACAGGAATATTGTGAGTGAAGAACAACTACCTTTACATTAACATAATGTAGTTTTCAAAAAGTTTGCAAAGCATGGAATATTTTAGTTAAATTTAATGCAAATTGATAGTTTTGATAATTTAATAAAATAAATTTGAAATATGATGTACCAACAAAGAGTCATTGTAAATTTCTTCTGGGACACAGGCCACAGACTACAATATAATATTGCTCCATGTTATAAACTATGAAGGTTATTAGCATAAAAATAAATTTAAAAAAAACTGCTATTACATAAAATTCCAAATTAAAATAAGAAAACTCAATCTATTAATAAAAATATTAGACAATTGGTAAGAAAGCAACAGTTACAGCTGTAAGTACACTGTACCATTTTTAATGATGGGCAAAAATGATTGTCAGAACAACAAAAACAACAGAAACAAAATTGTACATGGATTCATGTGCATTGTGTTTTCTTTGATATGTTACTGTTGACTTCAATAAAAGAAACAAGAAACTTATAACATTAATATAGCCTGAACTGCTTTGGCCTATTTTTGTACTTCAACTGGGAATAATGTTATTGCAAACATTAAATTTAATCCCATTCAGTGATTGAGCACTCACCAAGTGTTGATGTCTGTAATGGAAGCTACATGTTAGGTGGTCAGTTAAAAATTATTGCTTTAAATTGTCACTAAATCTATTGACAGTAAAATTCAGTAAAAGAAGAAACAAACAAATAGACAGACAGACAACAACAACAACAATGACAAAATAACCAAAACATATGAAGACTTTGGACGAGACTTTCTTACAGAGCTAAACAGTTATGTGAAGCAGGCAAAGTTAGTGTTGATCACTTCATAAGCCTTATTCTGTTGCACATGCTGTTGTCGTACGCACATCAAATTGCACAATTTGGGAAAGCTTCTCCATTGACAAACCTATCTACACATATTTTACAAAGATGGATTTGTGATTTTCAGACACACCCACAGTGAAACTTCGCTGATTTTGGCTGTACAGACTTAAGAGTCAGCCCGGTACACTTGACGTGGTACCAATCATCACAGTCATCACACTGTACCCAATCAACAAGCTTGTCTTGGTCGTGAGGGTGAAGACAGTCCACAGAAGCACAAGTATTGTACATGAAATTATCTTGGTCAGCAGAATCATTGCTTCTGGAAGATTTCCGTGCAGCTTTCTTGTAGGTTAAGGTTTGTTTTCTTCGTCTTTTGCTGGCTGTTGAGGCAAAAGGACGATACCAAAACATTAAATTTTGCATTGCATTTGCATCCAACAGAATATGAAGTATATGCACCAGTATGAACCTTAGAGATCTTTCTTGGCAGTCAAGTGCATACATATAGTATCAAGTGTGGTTAAGGGCCCATTAACCGATCTTCTCGAGCCGTTGCTAAGGAAAATTTAGTCTCATATAAACTCATCATTTTTAGTTAGTTCAGAGTTATTTCATGTGTTTCAACTTTTTTGTGATCAGTAACATTAGTGATGACGTCATCAGGCCACGCCTATGGTCAGGTGACTAATACAGAAAGGCTCCCAGGCAAATTACTTTCTCGGGATTTTTTTCATTGATTTAGCATTTTCATTTAAATCCTCATTACACTATGCATCGATTTTGTTTCTTTTCTAAAAGGTCAGATTTTGAGAGCATTTCAAAATATTGAAAAATTCGTAATTTCTTGAAAAAAGCATGATTTCGAAAAAGGAATGGATAGCTATGTTGCCAACGTTGGATTTAATGAAAAAC